ACAACTCAAACAAAGCATAAAAACAATCAGCATCAGCTTAACACCTTTATCCATCAACTCAATGGCGTCTTTAACCTTCCCTTCCCGAATAACCGTGCCAAATCAGCAATTGAAGGAGCCGGCCTGGACCTGGAACCGGAGCCGACGCCTGACTACTAACATGAGCCTGATTCGAGTTAATCTGTTGACCCTGAGGGACCCACTGGCCAGGGTTTCTTGTCTGTTGGTAACCCTGATTTTGTTGATTGTTCCACTGACTGGGCTTCTGGGTTGCTGATAATTCTGGCTCGAAATATAACCTGACTAGAGCTTTGACTGTTCCACTGATTGGGTTTTTGGGTGGCTGATGGTTCTGATTATTAGGGTTTTGATACGGATACTGATTAGCATTATATTGCTGCTGTTGTTGAGGATATCCCTGTCTTGAAGGATATCTCTGTCCCTGATTAGGGTATCCCCTGTTGGGATGGTTGAACTGATTATTACTAAAATTCCCCTGGTTTTGGCCCTGTGTAGTAGCCCACTGACTATTATCACCACTCCTCTGGTTTTGAAAAACCCTAGAATCAGGCAATGGTGACTGTGAATGTGGTGGTGGGTACTCATTTGGGGCAGCATACGTACTTAAGGGTTTTGCTATTTTCAGAGTTAGGGTTTTGTCGAAGTTGCTCTGAAGATTGTTTGATAAGACGAGTTAAAAGACTGATAGCGTACCTTCAACATAGAAGAAAGCCTCTGGCTTCGTGTGCTCCGTATCGCCATGAGAGAAGCCATTTGCTCGCTGAGTTTTCAGTGAAAATTTTAAGTAACGAACCAAAAACCCTAAAAACCCTAAATGGCCATAAGACTTACGAGGATGGGTTTCGCTTATGTTTTTGGGCTTTCACAGCGTATTGGGCCGCTGTAGGGACCAGACCGGGTTCAGATCGAATAGTCACAATAAGGTCTGTTTGGTTGGCCGTATATTTACAAAAAGAGAATTTTTTTTTTTTTTTTTTTTTTTTTGATAAACGGAAAGGATACAGCCACCGAAAGTTATACACCGAATGATGTAGTAGAATCCGACCGTCGATTAATATTAAGTTAAAATTAATCAACGTCAGATTTTGTCACGTTATCAGTACTGAATTCGATGCACTACTTCGGTGACTGTTGTATTACTTTTTGATAAAATATAAAATTAGAAAAAAAACAAACAAATAATGAAGTATAGGGATCAGATTTGGATTTTGTAACATTTCAAGAATAATTATTAGGTGGTAATTTTTTTATATAATATTTGAATGTCAAATATTGATTAATACAGTAAAACCTCTATATGTCATAATATTGGACCAACTAAATTTATTATTATGGAAGGTTATAATTAATAGAGGTAATACAAAAATTATGTTTTGATAAAAAATTATTGTTTTGATTTCTTATTTTATAATTCATATTTTAGTGGTATTAGATTTTGATTTATTGTTTAATAGCATTAGGTAGTATGGAAATGAATATCAAAGAGTTATTACAAAATTGAGTGATCAATTCGATAACTTTACTACACTAATAAAATAGATATTAATATTTTCTTAATCATCCAAATGACAACAAGTCGTGTATACTTTAACTGAAAAAATCATCATACTAGATTTAGGGGTGTTTGTCTAAGCTTATAAGTGGTCAAACTAGCTTATAAGCTCTAAAATTAAGCTGATCTGTTTGATTATAACTTTTTTGAGCTTATAAGTTGAGCTTAAAAGCCAAAAAAATAAGTTGGGAGGGGAGATACTTTTTTTTTTTTTTTTTGTTTATAACACTATGCTTAAAAGTTAGTTTGACCACACGCCGCACTATTTACCACATTATCCTTGTTTAATTTTAAAATTCCATAGTATACCCTTATTTAATGTAGTATCTTTTTTAGTCATTTTATAATAAAATGTACTTATAAGCCACATTTTACCAAACACGTCAACTACTTATCAGTCACTTATAAGTATTTTAACCAAACACGTAATTGCTTAAAATTTCAAATGCTTATAAGCTAATTTTGGCTTATAAGCACTTATTTCTTATAAGTTAATTTTCATAAGCTCAGACAAACACCCCCTTAGACAAGAAGAGAAAAGAGATAATCCTAAAGATGAATATAGTAAAGAAATATCAAAAGTTTCGTGCCAAAAAGCTCTAAACATGTAGTTAAAAATATTTTAATTTCAACAAGAAGGTGTCCATGTTGGCAACTTATTACGTACCCGCAAGATAAAAGATACGGTAGCAACTTTAAAACATAAATCATTGTTTCAAACAACTTTTGATAAAAAATTTATTTTATCTTAAACATTTAATGTAACATAACATATATTTTTTTTATAATATACATACAATTATTACTATGTAGAGGCAAGTTTCTTAAGACGGGACCTAGACAAACTATAACTTATTACAATGTGAATTTTATTCTTATTTATAATTGGTCCAAGTTGGGACTAAAATTTTTAATAACTATATGGAGATTATTCCTATATAGAGTATCACTATAGAGAAGTTCTACTGTACATATATAATTGTCAATATATATTATTCTTTTTTTTTTTTTTTTTTTTTGTAGTCGAGGGTAACTAATCCCTAACCGAAGAGAATCAAACTCAAGACCTCTTGAGTAATACACTCAACAGTCTGTATTACCCTACCCGACCACCCAAAGGTGGTTTAATATATATTAATTCAATATAGCTTTACCTAATCTTTTAATGTATTTGATTTATGAGTGGACTTATATTAACTAAGGCATAGTGTATCTCCTAACTTCTTTTATTTCCATGATATAAAATATAGTCAATGAGAAAACGACATATTCCCACCCTGATTGCATTTATTCTAGATTCCCACCCTTAAAGTAAGGCAGTTTTTTTTTTTTGGTAACCGGGGTGTTCGGGTCAGCTTACGGGTACTTTAACTAATCTCCAAGATCTATTGAATACTCTACAAACCCAATGAATTATGTAAGGCATAATTATGCATTGGATAGGTGACCCTAAAGTTTGAACTTAGGAAGTAAAAAAAAAGAACACGCCTCTTCGACCATCAGGTGAATCCCTTGGGGTTAACGCCGTTTCCTTTATTTTAACAAATTCTCAAATTTTCACTATAGCACGGTGCATGTTAGTACACTAAAGTATACCAAAGCTTTCTTTGGCATAAAATGGGTTCATGCTAGCAAAAAGTGGCTTATGTTAGCAACGTTTAAGCCAACGGTTTTCGGCCTTTTTATTTGATTCCGAAGTCCAAAATTACTTCCAAGACCACCGTTAGACTCTCCATAACCTCTTCTACAAAACCCATACCTTTACTTGCCAACCCCACTTACCATTTCCAATCACTTCCAATAGTCACTAATGGTATTTGTTTAAAGGTAAGAATCTAGAATAGATACAAACAAAAATATCAACTTGAGATTTTGCTAAACCTTGGGTGGGAATATGTCGTTTACTCTATATTAATTAAGAAAGATTAATGAAATATATTTAATTGCAAATTTAGTAGTTTATTATATATAGGAGCAAGTCCACAGTTGTAGCAGAAGAATCAAACTGACCTTCAACTTCTCTTCAAAATTTATTCTCAAATCAGCTCGCAGATCTATACAAATTATATCTTGATGGGAATTAAACTAAACTAAAGTCCTTGATTTCCACCTTTTTTTTTGTTCTTCTGTGCAAATATAACAAGCAAACAATAATATTCCAAAAGCCACAACTACAAGAAGCAATACAACAACATATACAAGAGATTACACGAGTGATATCACACTAGCAGTAGCACACGATCGATCGAGCAGAAGCAGAAGCAGCAGTAGCCATTAGCCAAAATTCCACATGCATGCATGAGAATTGATTTCATCTTCTCATGGCTGATGCCACCATTGGAGCAACTGTAATTCCTCGTTTCTGTCTGTCCGTGTTGGCCTCCCATCCTCCATTTCCCAATATCCCAAAGAAGAAAAGAGCCAATCAATCAGTCCATGCATGCTTATACATTAACGTAATAGTTTAAAGAGTAAACGACTTTTTTTCCCACCCAAGGTTTGCCTTAATGACACTTTTCCACCCCAAAAGTTTCAAAATACCACTTACCCACCCAAAGTTGATATTCTGTTAATACCTAAAATACACTTCACTTTCTCAGTCGTTATTTGACAAGTTATCAGGAGCTAGGGTAAGAGGAGTTTTGTAGAATGGAGGCCGATAGATAAAATGATGGTAACTGAAAGAATATTCGTCATCGGAATAAGCCAGAAATTAGCTAAGAACAAGAAAAAATCTTAGCTTTGCGGTGGTCAACAATCGATAAGAAATCAAGTGTTGGAATAAAAGACGTTTTCTAGAAAAGAGACCGGAAGTTCAAATGGTGGTGAGTGGTGACAAAGTGAATTTTTACCTTCATAATCGGTTTTAGATAGTAACGAAAAATTAACTTTATGTGGGAAAGTGGTGAGTAATTGTCGTTAAGGCAAACCTAGCTTGGGTGCGAAAAGGTCGTTTACTCTAGTTTAAAATAGTTCAACATGGTCTTATATAAAGTTTATAAACCATGTCCTCTACCTAACCCAACGACTTTCAATTGTAGTCAAGTACTGATCCATTTTTAAGATTTTTTCCAAACCAAATCTACGTTATTATATAAAGATGGTTTTTGTTTTGTAATGCAAAACCATATGATCGATTACTTCCTTGTCTTATATATATTTGGAATTTTTACCAGTCTTCTAGCTATGAGAGTGAAAAGTGTTTCTTCTGTTGAAAATTTTACTGTTTAACGACAAATATTGTTCTAAATTTATAAAGTAATCTGCAGGCTAGCACTTCTTTTGAAGTTCATCAAATTGTAAATAGTACAAATAAAAGATCTACCAGTTCATGAGATCTTCAGGATTATCAAAGTACAGCCAAAAACTACTATAAGAACATATCTCAGGACTAAAAAGAATCCTAGGCGTCAGGTATTTATGAAGTTGTAACTCGCAGCAAAAACCATAAATATAGAGAGAGGTTAATATTGTATATATATGTTCAAGAACCAGTGGAATATGAAATTACGAGCTATGAGTGATTAGATGAAGAGTATTTTTACCTATTCCCATGTCAAAGCCGCGTTCTTGGAGTTCTCTGTATTCTTGGCACAGTGCACAAGCTTCACAGAAGAAGTGCACTAAACAATCCACACAGGGTGACTCTGCCAAGTCGTATTGAGCCCTCATAGTTGAGCGAAAGGAGCATGAATACAAGCAGGCAAATCCAGTCATAGCCAATAGTCCATAAAGTGCACCACTCGCAGCACAAGCTGTAACACCATTGATGACAGCATATATATATTCACCATAAAAATCATTTAAATCGTCTAAAAGGAAAGTAATTAGAATGGAATTGGTTTGCAGATCGCTTACGGGATGACCCTTTACTCACTATCTCGGCAATCTGTCCAAACGTTATACAAGGACAAAAGCAAGTGACAAAACCTGAACCAAAAAAAAAAAAAAATGGGGTTAATTAAAGCCAGTAATTATTATTGATCGAACTGAGTTTTGATGAGCTTACAATTGGCTACATCATCGCAACAATGGCAAAGACCAGTAGACCATTTCCCCGGTACACGAACCCGCACGCCGGAGGAGATATATGGAGCTTGAGGATGAGGATAGGGTTGTGTTGGACTGGGGTTTGGAATTCCTGAAACTGGGACTGGCCCTGGATGCCCGTCAGTTGTGTATGTGTGAGCATCATTTTGAGAAGGATACATACTGGAAATACAAGGATTGTGATGAAGAACTTGCGGTAGTTTTCTTGTCCGGCAGGATCAGAACGATTCCTGGCTAATAAATATATGGGGGAAGTCTTTGTTTATTCTGTGGAAAAGTTGTCACTCTTGCGTGGTCAACTCAGAAGCTGATATTATATTAATTATCACCTGTTGGCCAATTATCTATCTCCATTACTGAAAGATGGAAGGCATAATCAAATTCTAGGAAAGTTTTTTTCAATATCTTTTTGGTGATGAGTCATTAAGCGCTGTATTTGTCAGCAGTGCAATTTCCTGGAGCATCTCTGGGGAGATACAAGTGGATATTAAAAATAGGAATTATTCAATTTTCCAACGTAGAATTGTTAATTTAATGACCGATGATGTCAAGCAAAAAGAATCTGAAGATGAAGTTTGTATAAATTATTACACCATGATGCAGTATGGAAAACGAGAACGGTAAATATTGTAAGTTGTCCACTGTCACAGAAGTATTGAAGCAACTTATAAACTGCGAGTGATTAATGGCTTTGAATAGTTACTGTACTAAACCTGACTCCCCCTAGTTCATATCAGAATACCTTACTGATATCTGATATGAATTCAAAATATGGTAACTTGAAAACAAGAAACCGGTTGGTAAGTGGCTTTCTGGGAAGGCTAGCTAGAAGCATCCCATCTTATTATTAATGATACCACCAGAAGAAGACTGGTCATAATTCATTATTATAAAACTCTAACTTGTAATAACAGCTTTCTAGATTAATACTGTCTTGGTGACATCGATGGTTAGCATCATGCCATTATTAGATTATAGTTCTGCATATGCAACTTCATTAGTTATGTTGATACTTGATTTTGACACTAACGACTCATACGTATAAAATGTTAAGCGAATTTAGAAATCACACGTGATAAGGAAACATGAAATGAAACAATGAATGAGAAGCGATATTTAAAGTGGTTCGGATGCTCAAAAGCGAATCCTACGTCCATTAGTTTTGTATTAATAGATGAGTAAAATCAGGTCGCGTGTAGCGAGTTGAGTTATAATCTAAAGATAATACAAAGAGAGAGAAAATGTGTAAGCTATTTTAGATTAAGATTAGTCAATCTCATAGATGAGAGAGATGTCCTCTATTTATAGTGGGAGATTTTAAGGTAATGATTACAAGTCTGCAAGTGGGTAGGTGTCGTGCAAATCCTTCTTTGCATCTCATTGGTTATCTGCACGAAAAATATTCTCAAATTACGTAGGGCTTAGACAGGTGGACAATCCTTAATCGCTCGCAAGCCTGACACTCACCTACTGCACTGATAGGAAGCACACCCCTTGCATCACTGCGCAACGTGGTAGCATTTGGACAGTACAAAACCTTTTTAAACTCTGATTGGCTCTTACTGAGGAGAGTTCAGATTAACCCTAACTTTTCAGGCGTAACAAGTTGAAATATGAATAAATCAGTTAGTGGTTTGTTGTCCCAACCAAGGTCAATAGTCATTGTTAATTAAGTTAAAATATGAATAAATTAGTTAGTGGTTTGTTGTTCCAACCAAGGTCAATAGTCATTGTTAATTATTCATTGACTAACCCATCTTCTAGTCTTCTTCCTCCACCTTCTTCCTACCCTATCCTCCATACAATCTGCAAATGCTTTGAAAATGTACACACAATGCAATGGTCAACTTTTCATGAACATACTTTTTTATTTTTTATTTTTTTGGAAATAGGTGTTCAGACCAGTTTGTGCATATCTCAACTAAAATCTTGAGAGTCAGAGATTCAAACCTAAGACTGTACGTCTTAATCATACATCATAACACTTGTCTTACCACTTGAGCTATCCGAAGGTGGGTGTTACCCTCTTTAGTATAAAATTCCAATTGTATTGTCTTAATAATGGTGGTCTAAAATGTAAACCACTTGGCTTGTGGCTGAATGGCAAGACTCTAGGTTATCTAGATGTCTTGTGTTCCAGTCACACAAAGTGATCACCTACTATATTTGTGACTTATCTGACTTATTGAGTTTGTAGGGTGTTTAATGGATCCAAATGATTAGTTGGTCTGAATATTTTGATTGAATTTGTAAGATATTTAATAGATCTCAAGGATTAGTTAGCCTGAACATCCCGATTACCAATAAAAAAAATAGTGTTGTAACGATGTTTTGATAATGCACGACTATATTTCATTCTCTTATAATAAAATAACCAAGGAAAAGGAAAAAAAAAATATGTTAAGTACAAATTCCTTGAACAACTAATAAGTCCATGAATATCCTAATCCAGCTACAGAACACTACCCTCTCGCAACCAAACACCCCCCAAATCATCACAACGTCACTTTTTTTTTTTTTTTTGGTTTCCTTCATTTTACCGCCAAATTGGCGATTTTAAAGAGCGGACGAGCTCCTTCTCCAGTAATCAATTAACAATTCATTATTCATGGAACACGAAGAAGAAGAAATTCTCTCAGCTTCCGATACAAACGATTCAAGCGATGAATTCACTGTTGATGGTGATGACGAAGATTATAATGGTAATAATAATGATGACGATGAAGAAGAAGAAGAAGCATGCGTGGCAGAATCTCCGCCGTCTGATGAAGATAGGAAGTCGAAGAATGTCGACGCTCTCGTCAGGTGAAATTTCGATCTTCTTTTTTTTTTTTTTTTTTTTTTTAAATAACCTAAATGTTATAAGTTTTATGTGGAGTGTCTAGTTTATCGTGTTAGTAATTGCTGAGCTAGGGTTTATATGAGCTCAAATTTCAAAATAATGGAATAATTTGAAATTTAATTTCGTTGAATATCGGTGTTCTAATTGGTCAGAGGCAACCTGGTTGTGAAACGACAATCACTGCTTCCAAGAGTTCTTTCGGTTACGGAAGGGGCGGCCGTTTGTAGGAAACCTTTTAAACCTCCATGTTCAGATGGCTACAATAACGGGAACGAACATCTTGCTCGTCGTCTTTGGGCACGCAAACGGTTTGTTCCCTGGGGCTCTGAGAGGCCAGTGTTGGTTGCTATAACCAGTAGATTAGATCTACCAAGGACGGTTGAGAAGGATGTAGTGGAGGAAAATGTGACGTTACCACCTGGGGTTGAGCCTTTGGTGCTGTGGCAACAAGAGGAAGCTGAGAATGGTCGCGATAATTTGGTTACAATATCAGTGGATCCGTTGCTGGTTCAGTTTCTTCGACCCCATCAAAGGTAATGTTTATGATGTAAAATTTTAATTGAATTTGTGAAATTTTGTGAGATTTAGGCGTTTTTATATGTAGTTCAAATAATATACATTATTCATAAATAGACTTCTTTTTCTTTTTTTAATTTTTTTTTTTTAAGAGTGTAAACACCAATGGGCATATTTTATTGATCTGACCGTCACTCTGAATTCTGATTGTGGAGGCCATGGAAAAGTATTGGTAGAGCATTGATACTCAGAGAAGTAGTGATTTGGGCTTAATATTTAGTTTTTCTTTTGACAGAAGTTTTATGCTATTAGATATGAGAAGATTTATAAAATCAATGTTTTAGATTATGTTTTGATTTAGTTGTGGTTTTCTGTAATGGATACTAATTTCTTTTACACTGAAATGCAGAGAAGGGGTTCAGTTCATGTTTGAATGTGTTTCAGGGTTATGCAGTGCTGCCAATATATATGGATGTATTCTTGCTGATGATATGGGGTAAATACTTCGTCCTTTCTGGGCATATCTTAATATTGAGTGAGCAGGATTCCTTTTTATCCTTCTATTCAATGTTACTGTATTTGGTTGTCTCCAAGGCTGATGGTTTTAGTGTTAATTCTGCAGGTTGGGAAAGACATTGCAGTCAATCACATTACTTTATACTCTCTTACGTCAAGGGTTTGATGGAGAGCCAATGGTTAAAAAGGCCATCATTGTCACACCAACCAGTCTTGTAAGTAATTGGGAGGCTGAGATCAAGAAGTGGGTTGGAGACAGAGTTCAATTCTTAGCTCTCTGTGAAAGCACCAGAGATGATGTTGTCTTTGGAATAGACAGTTTCACAAGTCCTTGCAGTCCTTTGCAGGTAAATCGTGTTGCAATTTCTGGTAATTTTCTAGGAATGTGTGCTAATCTAATCACTACCACAGGTACTTATTGTTTCATATGAAACATTTCGGATGCATTCTTCAAAATTTAGCCGAAGTGAGTCTTGTGACCTTCTTATTTGTGATGAGGCTCACAGGCTGAAAAATGATCAGACATTAACAAATCGGGTATGGCATATAAAGTAAAAATCTTCCTTTCGTTTTTTAATGTATTCTTCTTTCATTGTTGGCTGACATCAATTATAAACATTTCTCTGGGTCAGGCATTAGCTGCTCTCTCATGCCAGCGGCGAATATTGTTGTCTGGAACACCAATGCAGGTGATAGACATTTGCCAATGATTCTGTGTTATAAAAGTAAGTTTCTTGCTGCATTCTATATTTATTTCTTTATGTGAACCTTTGCAGAATGACCTAGAAGAGTTCTTTGCCATGGTTAACTTTACTAATCCTGGAATCTTGGGTGACGCTGCATATTTTCGACGTTATTATGAGGTGAGGTGTGATGCTATGTATTTGAAATACTATATTTCAAGATGTTAACTCCTTGTCCTTTCTCATACATTTTCTACTTCACTACGTTAACGTATCTTTAACCTATGTTTGAACTTTAATTCCAATTAAAAAGACACCAGTTGTTTGTGGAAGAGAACCTACTGCTTCTGAAGAAGAGAAGAAGCTAGGTATTGAGCGCTCTGCAGAACTTAGTGCAAAAGTGAATCAGGTAATTTAATTTATATGTTTATTTGTGGATGCACTTATAGATGCTAGCTTTATTAAGAGTTATAGAATCTATTTGTGTTGGACTAGTTAAAGCTTTTAATTTTATGATAATGTGAAATTCCTGCTTAACAGAAAAGCATTATGTAGAGTAATTGATGGGTTGCTGACTTGCTGATATTCTTTTGCAAATAAGGAAGAATTGGTTTTATTGTTTCTCATATTTGACCTGTAGTTATGTGTTTGCAGTTTATTTTGAGAAGGACTAATGCATTGCTATCAAATCACTTGCCACCAAAGGTATGACATGTGCAACTGCCTCTGCCACTTGTAGTTGCTAAAAATCTTGCATGACATTTCAATATTCTTTGCAAGATTATGTGTTGCTTGTACAAAATTCCATGATGTTGTGACGTGAAGACAATTTCTTGATGCCCCAGCCACTTAGGGTATTTGTTTATTTGTGGATGCACTTATAGAGGTTAATTTGTTTCTCTTCTAGATAGTTGAAGTTGTTTGCTGCAAGTTGACTCCTCTCCAGTCAGAGCTATATAACCACTTTATACATTCCAAAAATGTGAGTATCATTCTTTTATAGTTCTGCTGGATCAGAATCTGCATTAATATTTGGCCGTTAGTGTTGACAGTTCTTGTGTTCTTGCTGTTGAACACAGGTTAAACGGGCAATTTCTGAAGAAACTAAGCAATCGAAGATTTTGGCTTATATCACTGCTCTTAAGAAGCTCTGTAATCATCCTAAGGTTAAAAAATCTTATGGACAAAATCTACTTAACTTCATATGTTATTTCTTGCTATATTGTCTTGTAGAAATACCTTTAAATTAATACTAGCTGTTGTCTGTTGTTGCATTGGATCTAATATGATCACTTCTTTGTATGCTATAAATAAATAGTAGTGAGCAGATTTTCGTAGGAACTAGTTTTCACTGAAAGTGCACTCGAGCCTGGTCCATGCTTCATATTTTTATTTAATGTCTGTTCTGTTTTATATACATACTGTCAGACTGTTCGATTCTTATTGAAGATACTTTATCTATGTAGCTTATCTATGATACTATAAAAAGTGGAAATCCAGGAACTACAGGGTTTGAGGACTGTATACGCTTTTTCCCTCCGGAGATGTTCTCTGGAAGGTATATACTTGTTCATATGCATTATTCATAAATATCTGATGTTCAATATGTAGGATCATATATGATTTATTTTCCCTGATATTGTTAGATCTGGATCATGGTCTGGAGGTGATGGTGCTTGGGTTGAACTTTCTGGAAAAATGCATGTCTTGGCGCGGTTGCTGTCCCATCTACGTCATAGGACCGATGACCGAATAGTTCTGGTCTCAAATTACACTCAGGTAGTACTACGTGGTAGTTACTTCTGAACAGAATAGTACATGAAATACAGATATAGATGATTGTACATGTTACTTCTATAGTTTGTCATTTTCTTTTCACTATCTAACATTCCATTACTTCTCCTTCCATGGGGACAGTATGTAGTTCCGTATACTAGGAATAATATTATGCCATCTAGTGACTTGTTTGGTTGATGTGAAAGCTTATTACCTGAGAGCCCTTGTAGCTAGTGGACTGGAATGTATTTTATTTGATAGGAATGGTATGTACTTCACTATCATGTAGTTGGAACCCTATTTTATTAGGATAGAGTGCTACTCTAATTACGGGCAATTTATTCATTTCTTGAATTCTGTTGTCTGGAGTTAATCCTTCAAGAAACAACCTACAGAAAGATAGGCACTGCAAATGGGTAAATTTCCTTTTTTTATAATGAAACTTTGATTGTGCTCATCAAACTTGCTTGCCACTGCATAAGGAAATAATCAATTCTATGTATCATTTATAGAAACATCTTTTTTTATGGAGTATATTAGGACCCAGGTTATTTATTTTTAATCAAATTTTACTGTAATGTACCAGACTCTAGACCTTTTTGCTCAATTGTGTCGTGAAAGAAGGTACCCTTACTTGAGGCTCGATGGAACCACATCTATCAGCAAAAGACAGAAGTTAGTTAACCAATTTAATGATCCATCAAAGGTACAAATCCCATCTGACAATTAGGCTGTTTTTTGTGTGGCATCTAGGCTTATACAATTTGATTTGAACAATTTGCAGGATCAATTTGTATTTCTCTTAAGCAGCAAGGCTGGTGGTTGTGGTCTCAATTTAATTGGTGGTAACCGACTTGTTTTGTTTGATCCTGATTGGAATCCTGCCAATGATAAACAAGTAATTGCCTTATACTAAACTTTAAACTTCAAATGTACTCGTCACTCTAATGCCGGTTAATAAGTAAGCATACTGATCTCCTATAATATGATATTCTGACTGTTTGCATGTTATGTTTTGCCCATAATTAGGCTGCTGCAAGAGTTTGGAGGGATGGGCAGAAGAAGAGAGTATACATATACAGATTTCTTAGTACTGGAACCATTGAAGAAAAGGTTTTAATATGTCAATGACTGAGTTAATGAAATAACTGTGTTTTGTTAATTTTCAACATCTAAAAGATAGTTGAGCTTTTATGACCTGTGTTTGGAATTTGCTCTTAATTTCTTTAGGTTTACCAGCGTCAAATGTCCAAAGAAGGGCTTCAGAAAGTTATTCAGCAAGAGCAAACAGAGAGCCATTCAGCACAGGTTCTTGTTTAGCTCCCCCATTTTGATTATCTGAGTTCAGAATTTGCTCTTAAATGCATGAGATATAAAGCATTTGAATTGCAGGGTAACTTTCTTTCAATGGAAGATTTACGTGACCTGTTTACGTTTCACGAGAATGTTAGGTACATTTTATTTTCTGAAGCTGAAACTACTGTTCTATGTATTACAGAAATGTCAATTTAATTTTTCATCATTGATGGAGTTCTGTATACTAATCATATTATTGCTGATGATGATATAGGTGTAGTACTATCACAACTAAAACAAGAAATATAAATAGAACAGTTTCAAGTTAGATTGAGTAATATAAAATAACATCAACCTAGGAGTGTTACTTTCCTGATTTATTTTCCTTGGTCTGTCTGCTGCATTTGAAAGAAACAACTGTAAATAATTTCTTAAAACCAAATAATTATGAGGTTACTTTCCTGGATAATATTTGCAATTTGACGCATAGTAGTACAAGATGAGGAGTTCATCTATATTAAATTATTGATTTGAGAATTATTTGTTAACCTGAATCATTTTGGATCACTTTTGACACTAAAGTTATCTGTTTTGAACCTCTAAGCTTGTCATTTTAACCTATGTCAAAATGTTTCTTAGCTTTCGCATTCCATTTCCTGCCATTGCAGCATGAAATTGTTTCTGAATTTCATCTTTATTTGTAATAATTTGTTAAAATTGTACTTGAAGGTCTGAAATTCATGAGAACATGAACTGCATTCGTTGCCAAAATTATGAAGATGGACCTGAGAGCATAGGAGAGGGAGATGAAAACGAAGCAGGACATGGAAAATTTCAGTCTGATGAAGACATTCCTGATATTGGTGGTTTTGCTGGAATTGCTGGATGCTTGCACAAGTTAAAGAGCTCAGAGAAACAGGTTGATCACCAGATTCACTGCATTATCATTGCATTTACTGGTGTCTAATTTTAGTTTTTAAAAGTTTGATATCATTCTTACATTCTCTTCAAAAAAATTTCAGGTAGGAACTCCACTTGAAGAAGATTTAAATAGTTGGGGGCATCATTTTCAGTCAATGTCTGTGCCTGATGCTATACTTCAAGCTTCAGCTGGTGATGAGGTTTGCTATTTGTCTGAGGTTTCATATCTACTCAACTTTCATTTTCTAAGGAAAAAGAATTCCTCTAAGTTGCTCACTAAATAACTGTGCGGCTGTGCCTGGTAAATTTTTTAGGTTAATCATCTATCTTGACTGAAAACATAAATAACTTACATAAAATATGGAAAAACTAGGTGAAGCATATGACTGGGCCTGTTGTAAGTACTTTCAGAGTAAATGGTTTCCAGACTAGGAATACTTATTCACTCTTAACATACTTAAATACGAAAATTGTTTTTAAGATTGTGTGTTACTTATCAAATATGTAGAGAATGCCTTAGCACTAACATATCAAACATAACTATAATAATCAGTGCATTCATATTTGCTCATTATCTGCCTGTAAATAGATCCAGAGTATTCACAGTTTTACCAATTTCGCAGGTCACATTTGTTTTCACAAACCAAGTAGATGGGAAGCTTGTGCCAATTGAATCAAACGTAAGCCCGAAGATGGAGCGAACAGAAGGAGACAAGAACCAGAGTAATCTCAAGCAAAACCTAGACCGAAAATCCAATCTATTGTCTCAACATCATAGGCTACTACAATCTATTTCTTCAAACAAAAATTCTAGGAATATCACATTTTCTTCCCAGCCTTCTTTGCAAAAGGGAACTGTGAATTCAATGAGAACTTCTCTAAAAGGTACAATAAAGCCTAAACTCTCACTTGTTAATCAATTACCCCTTAAAAGATTATCTCCTGAAAATGTAGAGCATGACGATGATTTCACATAAAGTTTTGGCGGCTTAAAATAATTAATTATCCTCATTGTTTATAGTTGCTAGACAAAGTAAGTAATGGTTTTGTGAGATCTATGTAGTTGAATCAATGTGCTGTGCTTTAAGTAGGTATTAGCATGTGCATCGATACCACAATATGGAAACATCAGCTATTCTTTGTTGGTTTAAAGTGGGAATGGGAATAGATTCTTATCAGGTCCAAGAACAAGGATCTTTTTGCACTTCTCGAGCTTCATTTTCATCAAACTTTAAGCTGATAGAATATTAAATTAATGCATTAAATAACATTTCATGAAAATGTGGTACTCTTTCATCCCTTGCATATGCAAATTTCTTCTCTCTTTGTGTTTCCTTTCTTGAAGTACAAATGGCCCGATTCTAGATTTCCTAAGAATCAAATTGGTGAAATCCCATATTTCTTATATACGAAAAATGATTGATCTCTCATGAACAATTACTTAGTTCTTGTAGTTTATGGCATACCAAAAACACTACTTAAAAACCTCTTGATTTGTGAGTTTTATGGGTAAAGTTATCTCATCACATGATCTTGAGTCAACTAAATGGTTTTTGCAGGGATAGATTTGCCTCCCCATTCTGAGAATAAAATTCCCAGAAGACATTTTATTTTCTATTGCAATTACTTATAATCATGCTCCGTTTCCTTCCTATTATAGTAGATGAAGGGGACATTACAAGACCAAATTTAGGCAAAATTCAGAGCACCCAATTAAACAAAGTTGAGAGGACTTTTTTTCCCTTCGCCATGATCTAACATTGTAAACCGAGCCCTTGTGGGTTTGAAGTTCGAACACAAAATTTGGGATAAAATTCTTCTTAGATTAACAACACAAAAGACAAGTTTTGCTCACAAAATGGGAGACCAAAGGGGAGACATTGCCCTTAGATTATGTTTTTTCTCCACTTCCCATAAGCTTGCTACAAAAACTTGTGAGAGAGTTTGTAGGATGAGAGAATAGACCACGTGGCAGAAACCCATTTGGTGAATCATTTGTAAAATTTGGGATTAGAGGGGGATATGATCCATTCCATATTTCCATGTGGAGGTCAATAGGTAAAGGCAATGGATGGATCAAGATTCAAGAATAAATGGTGCTTTTTTCTCATATGCACATGCTACTAATTAATAGTCAAATCATGGCTTAAACTAGTGTTTTATTTTTTGTTAGTGTTGGTAAGATTTGAGATAATTCAATTTGTTTAATGGTTAGATTAGCACTATACCAGCTCTACTCACATGGATCTACTCTAATAATTTCATTTTTGCTACTTAGATGGGACTGGAGAAGTGAAAACAAACAAAAACATTATATTTTGAGTTTATTTCTTACATTTATGTAAATTCCACTAATGTTAGCGTATCGCAGTTATAAAAAAGTACTGGATACACCTTTATTAGGGGAGTTTTTAATTTTTTAAAAGACGGTTTTGAATAATCTTAGAGGTATATAATTCTTTTTGATAATCAGGTATACGTTTAATATTTAATCGATTTCAAAAGGGTATATTCGTATATGAAATAAACTCTTATATTTTTCTTTTGTCGATCAGTCTAATGATTTATGTTTAATCAATAATGTTACTGAACCTAAAATGAGTTTATTATTTGATTGATAAAAAGTCATAATGTAATACTTTTTCTTATCGATCAATCCAATGGTATACATTGAAACTGAACTAGTAAAGTTAAAAATGTAACCCACCCATGAGTAGCCCAACAGTAAGGGCAAACAAAGGGGTTGTAAATGGGGAGAACTCATAAACTTCAAATGTACTCGTCACTCTAATGCCGGTTAATAAGTAAGCATACTGATCTCCTATAATATGATATTCTGACTGTTTGCATGTTATGTTTTGCCCATAATTAGGCTGCTGCAAGAGTTTGGAGGGATGGGCAGAAGAAGAGAGTATACATATACAGATTTCTTAGTACTGGAACCATTGAAGAAAAGGTTTTAATATGTCAATGACTGAGTTAATGAAATAACTGTGTTTTGTTAATTTTCAACATCTAAAAGATAGTTGAGCTTTTATGACCTGTGTTTGGAATTTGCTCTTAATTTCTTTAGGTTTACCAGCGTCAAATGTCCAAAGAAGGGCTTCAGAAAGTTATTCAGCAAGAGCAAACAGAGAGCCATTCAGCACAGGTTCTTGTTTAGCTCCCCCATTTTGATTATCTGAGTTCAGAATTTGCTCTTAAATGCATGAGATATAAAGCATTTGAATTGCAGGGTAACTTTCTTTCAATGGAAGATTTACGTGACCTGTTTACGTTTCACGAGAATGTTAGGTACATTTTATTTTCTGAAGCTGAAACTACTGTTCTATGTATTACAGAAATGTCAATTTAATTTTTCATCATTGATGGAGTTCTGTATACTAATCATATTATTGCTGATGATGATATAGGTGTAGTACTATCACAACTAAAACAAGAAATATAAATAGAACAGTTTCAAGTTAGATTGAGTAATATAAAATAACATCAACCTAGGAGTGTTACTTTCCTGATTTATTTTCCTTGGTCTGTCTGCTGCATTTGAAAGAAACAACTGTAAATAATTTCTTAAAACCAAATAATTATGAGGTTACTTTCCTGGATAATATTTGCAATTTGACGCATAGTAGTACAAGATGAGGAGTTCATCTATATTAAATTATTGATTTGAGAATTATTTGTTAACCTGAATCATTTTGGATCACTTTTGACACTAAAGTTATCTGTTTTGAACCTCTAAGCTTGTCATTTTAACCTATGTCAAAATGTTTCTTAGCTTTCGCATTCCATTTCCTGCCATTGCAGCATGAAATTGTTTCTGAATTTCATCTTTATTTGTAATAATTTGTTAAAATTGTACTTGAAGGTCTGAAATTCATGAGAACATGAACTGCATTCGTTGCCAAAATTATGAAGATGGACCTGAGAGCATAGGAGAGGGAGATGAAAACGAAGCAGGACATGGAAAATTTCAGTCTGATGAAGACATTCCTGATATTGGTGGTTTTGCTGGAATTGCTGGATGCTTGCACAAGTTAAAGAGCTCAGAGAAACAGGTTGATCACCAGATTCACTGCATTATCATTGCATTTACTGGTGTCTAATTTTAGTTTTTAAAAGTTTGATATCATTCTTACATTCTCTTCAAAAAAATTTCAGGTAGGAACTCCACTTGAAGAAGATTTAAATAGTTGGGGGCATCATTTTCAGTCAATGTCTGTGCCTGATGCTATACTTCAAGCTTCAGCTGGTGATGAGGTTTGCTATTTGTCTGAAGTTTCATATCTACTCAATTTTCATTTTCTAAGGAAAAAGAATTCCTCTAAGTTGCTCACTAAATAACTGTGCGGCTGTGCCTGGTAAATTTTTTAGGTTAATCATCTATCTTGACTGAAAACATAAATAACTAACATAAAATATGGAAAAACTAGGTGAAGCATATGACTGGGCCTGTTGTAAGTACTTTCAGAGTCAATGGTTTCCAGACTAGGAATACTTATTCACTCTTAACATACTTAAATACGAAAATTGTTTTTAAGATTGTGTGTTACTTATCAAATATGTAGAGAATGCCTTAGCACTAACATATCAAACATAACTACAATAATCAGTGCATTCATATTTGCTCATTATCTGCCTGTAAATAGATCCAGAGTATTCACAGTTTTACCAATTTCGCAGGTCACATTTGTTTTCACAAACCAAGTAGATGGGAAGCTTGTGCCAATTGAATCAAACGTAAGCCCGAAGATGGAGCGAACAGAAGGAGACAAGAACCAGAGTAATCTCAAGCAAAACCTAGACCGAAAATCCAATCTATTGTCTCAACATCATAGGCTACTACAATCTATTTCTTCAAACAAAAATTCTAGGAATATCACATTTTCTTCCCAGCCTTCTTTGCAAAAGGGAACTGTGAATTCAATGAGAACTTCTCTAAAAGGTACAATAAAGCCTAAACTCTCACTTGTTAATCAATTACCCCTTAAAAGATTATCTCCTGAAAATGTAGAACATGACGATGATTTCACATAAAGTTTTGGCGGCTTAAAATAATTAATTATCCTCATTGTTTATAGTTGCTAGACAAAGTAAGTAATGGTTTTGTGAGATCTATGAAGTTGAATCAATGTGCTGTGCTTTAAGTAGGTATTAGCATGTGCATCGATACCACAATATGGAAACATCAGCTATTCTTTGTTGGTTTAAAGTGGGAATGGGAATAGATTCTTATCAGGTCCAAGAACAAGGATCTTTTTGCACTTCTCGAGCTTCATTTTCATCAAACTTTAAGCTGATAGAATATTAAATTAATGCATTAAATAACATTTCATGAAAATGTGGTACTCTTTCATCCCTTGCATATGCAAATTTCTTCTCTCTTTGTGTTTCCTTTCTTGAAGTACAAATGGCCCGATTCTAGATTTCCTAAGAATCAAATTGGTGAAATCCCATATTTCTTATATACGAAAAATGATTGATCTCTCATGAACAATTACTTAGTTCTTGTAGTTTATGGCATACCAAAAACACTACTTAAAAACCTCTTGATTTGTGAGTTTTATGGGTAAAGTTATCTCATCACATGATCTTGAGTCAACTAAATGGTTTTTGCAGGGATAGATTTGCCTCCCCATTCTGAGAATAAAATTCCCAGAAGACATTTTATTTTCTATTGCAATTACTTATAATCATGCTCCGTTTCCTTCCTATTATAGTAGATGAAGGGGACATTACAAGACCAAATTTAGGCAAAATTCAGAGCACCCAATTAAACAAAGTTGAGAGGACTTTTTTTCCCTTCGCCATGATCTAACATTGTAAACCGAGCCCTTGTGGGTTTGAAGTTCGAACACAAAATTTGGGATAAAATTCTTCTTAGATTAACAACACAAAAGACAAGTTTTGCTCACAAAATGGGAGACCAAAGGGGAGACATTGCCCTTAGATTATGTTTTTTCTCCACTTCCCATAAGCTTGCTACAAAAACTTGTGAGAGAGTTTGTAGGATGAGAGAATAGACCACGTGGCAGAAACCCATTTGGTGAATCATTTGTAAAATTTGGGATTAGAGGGGGATATGATCCATTCCATATTTCCATGTGGAGGTCAATAGGTAAAGGCAATGGATGGATCAAGATTCAAGAATAAATGGTGCTTTTTTCTCATATGCACATGCTACTAATTAATAGTCAAATCATGGCTTAAACTAGTGTTTTATTTTTTGTTAGTGTTGGTAAGATTTGAGATAATTCAATTTGTTTAATGGTTAGATTAGCACTATACCAGCTCTACTCACATGGATCTACTCTAATAATTTCATTTTTGCTACTTAGATGGGACTGGAGAAGTGAAAACAAACAAAAACATTATATTTTGAGTTTATTTCTTACATTTATGTAAATTCCACTAATGTTAGCGTATCGCAGTTATAAAAAAGTACTGGATACACCTTTATTAGGGGAGTTTTTAATTTTTTAAAAGACGGTTTTGAATAATCTTAGAGGTATATAATTCTTTTTGATAATCAGGTATACGTTTAATATTTAATCGATTTCAAAAGGGTATATTCGTATATGAAATAAACTCTTATATTTTTCTTTTGTCGATCAGTCTAATGATTTATGTTTAATCAATAATGTTACTAAACCTAAAATGAGTTTATTATTTGATTGATAAAAAGTCATAATATAATACTTTTTCTTATCGATCAATCCAATGGTATACATTGAAACTAAACTAGTAAAGTTAAAAATGTAACCCACCCATGAGTAGCCCAACAGTAAGGGCAAACAAAGGGGTTGTAAATGGGGAGAACTCATAATCCTAGATTCGATTTTTCACTGAACGCAAAAGTAGTACCTTTATCTATGATTTACCTAGGCCGTCATGGTGATGGGTTGTTGTGTCCTAAGGATTAGAATCAGTGTTCTGGGGTGCCGAAAAAATGTTAAAAATGTAATATAAAAATTCAGTCATTTTATAATCAAAGAATGTGAAGTGTGATTAAGATTAAGTTTTTATTTTCCTTACTGGCTTAGGTTGGAAGATGAAAATAATGGAAACATCAACTACCAAATCTTTTATTACTTGCTTCTTTACATGTCTGTTTTGAACTTGGAATCAGGATCACATGCTCATTACCTCATTAACTTTAAAAAAAATAAAAGATAGCAAAATGAAAGAAGCCAACTGCTTTTGATTTCTTTTCCTTATACAATGCTTGGGAGTTCCTTGTTTAATCCATCCCAAATTGCCCAATAATTATACTTCTCTTTATGCCTTTAGAAGTGCTTTTTTTTTTTTTTTAAATGATTAAAACTGTTTTATAACCTACCTATAGGTAGCCGAATGATAAGGACGAATCAAGAGGGTTGTACATAGCTTCAACTCACAGTCCTCCGTTAGACGCAAAGGTAGTACTTTTGCTCTTGATTTACTGGAAGGGCTGCCGACAAAGCAGATGAATAACTATCCATTACTAAAATTTACTTAAAGTTGAAAGGATGGACCTTCGAGAAGTTCTGTTTTGACACAAGGTTCACATCCTGACTGAAGTGCTTGACCCACCAATCCAGTGTAATCAACATGCAAGAAACAAATAAAAGTGCTTAAAACTTAAATAATTGTGGTTTATTTTAAGGATTAAATAAACATGATTAGCCCACAACAGGCTGAATCTCAGGGTCAATAGGCCTTGTCAGTTTGTCCAGCAGTCACTTAAATTACTAGATTAACAATGTTAATCAGTTGCTTAACTTAAGAGAAAGATAATAATTTTATAGAAATGGAGTGAGTAATAGTGCATCTGTCAATGACAAAGTGACAAATCCGAGTAACATGAGATGTCAAACTAAACATGTGCAGAAAACTTCAAGCTTTGAGCTTTATATAAATTCAAAGATCTAGTTTAGGATTCTAGCACTGTAAATAAGAGAGAATAAGTTGTAAACATCTGAAAGTATCAGTGTTCTAGGTGGGTTTGAATGTCCATGGCATGCTTAAACATGTACAACAATGAGCACTCTATGGACCCAAGAATCTCTTTCTCAAATGATTTTGCAGATACCCAACAGGCTGCTAAGCAAGAAAACAAGTATAGGGAAGCACCAGTTTCTGCAGATTTTGAGTTCTCAGTAAGGAACTATAACATGAAACCTGCAGATGAGATTTTCTTCAAGGGGATGTTGGTGCCTTTGAAGGATAATTCTGGGAGGAAGATGACTTTGAGAGAGGAACTGCTGGTTGATGATGAGGAGGTGGTTTTGCCAAGAGTGCCAAAGATTTCTGGTTGGTGGAAAGAGAGATTGGGGCTGAGGAAGGGTCACATTTTGTCAAAAAAAGGAGATAGAAATGTTTTGGAGGAAGTTGTTGAAGAGCCAAGGCCTGCATTTGCTGATGGTGAAGACACTGTTACTGTTGGCAAAACAATTCAGGTGAGATTTCAAATCTAGTTTCAGCTGATAAATTCATACAAACTTACTTCATTTCTGTCACTGTTTGATTGTTCTGTGCATTATTCAAGCTGTTCTGCATCTGGGTTAAATTTGGTTTCTTGGTTTCAGGAACTGTTACTTGAAGGAGGGTTGAATTGTAGAGAGACTGGAATATGATTCCAGGGAGGATGATGACAAGCCAAGAGAGATTCATTCTATAGAAAACAGTGCCATTTTCAGAGGGATGGACTATGGAGAGCTCCTTTTGCAGAATAGTTTTTACTTTTTGTCTTCAGCTTCTGCTATTTTTTCTACTTAGCTTTATTATTTTCAGTTAATTATAAAAGCAGAACCACCTATCCCTCTCCTCTCCCAGGGAAAATTCTGAAGTAGAGAAGCTATTTGCCTGTTTTGTTCTGTACAAATGTATGCAGTTTAAGAACTTTCCATGTATTAGAAGTATTGACTACTGTAATCTATTTATTATTTTTTCTCAGAACACAGTTTATTTTTCTCTTTTTTCTCCATTTTCACGTCGTATTTCCCTTATAGTAATACTAGTCTTACAAAGAAGCATACAAAAAATTAAATCCAACCCTTGAAATTCATGATTAGCTCTTTCTCTCTAAATCTTTTTCCCTTCTTTCAAGAGCTGGATTTGACTCTTTGTATGGTTTTTTGTATACCTAGTATTATTTTTTCCCTTATTAGGACCTTATCTTTTTTCTCTTTTCAACCAGAGTCTCTTCTCCAGTAAAGATCATTTCAGTCAAAGATTTGATCTATTTTAGCATAGACAGGTCATGACTGATAAGAGTTCAGCAGATATACAGATCTTAACTCTAATATTCAAGGGTTTCTTCACATGAACAGAAATATTATGTTGCAATAAAGAATTAGTATTTGAAACTTCTTCCTAGTTTACAAATCTTGCCACTTAAAGACCAAAAATTAAAACGAATCAAGCATCTCATTATTTTTACAGTAATTCTCTCTTATTCTTCATCAAGGGATAGAATAGGTCAGTTACTGAGCAATAAACATTAAATGTCCAGCAGAAGAAACAAAGCTTTTGCTGCATCTCAGATAATCCTCAGAATGCTCAAGAACAGCAGAGCTCGCTGTTAATATTCTGGGCAGTGTCTGTCAACACAAATCTACAAGTTGGCTGCATTTGCAGTCACAAATACAAATACAACAGCTTGTGAGAGAATTAACATTGCCGTATCCAAAAATATGTCATCCCCTAAAACCAATATAAAAACAGATTACTGCACTGACAACGGAGTTTCTGCCGTGCCACAGTCGTCTCTGATAAAATTTCAACCAGTTGGATCATTTATGTTGGATATTGTATAAATAATCAAACTTTTTTTTATACAAAAATGAGATCATAAGCTATATACAGCAAACTAATGATATACATACATTGTCACTAAGGCTTTGAAAGAATAACACTCTACAATTAGCTATAAAATTGGATCCCTATAATTATACAACACATCCATAAGGTATAAATTTTATAAGCAGCAGCAGCAGAGGTATTTTACATTTTGTACAAAAATTCCATCTTCACTTATGTTGACGGGAAAGAATCTATTAATGGTTCTCCATTCTCTGTACACCTGCAACCAGATATCGATTAAGCATTATCAGCTTCGAGAAAAAAGGTACACAATGCATTTACAGCACTGATTAAACAATTCAAGTGGACCAGCTGAAAGAAACCCAGTACCACGAAACATCATTTGACAAACTTATGTCAACGGGAAAGAATCTATTGATGGTTCTCCATTCTCTATTACGTCATGGTTATAAAGTTACTACTAATATGGAAATAAAAAATTTCAAGTCATTTTCACTTAAATAGGGTAGACAGCATAAACATAGTTTTCTCTTCAGAAGCCCTATAAATAACAACAATTTCTGAAAGAGGATCAACTTACGTGTTTCATGGAGAGTCTACCACACTTGCACAGAAATCTCTCCAATAATTACCTTTAGCTGGTGGGGAATTGGGAGATCTTTGATCAGGCATGTGATGGAATTAAGGCAACATTGAGATCACACGCAAGGTGCATGGAATTTGTAGAGTAATGAGATTGATGTTATCATGATTATCGAATGAACCATCAATTTCGTTCCCTTGGCTGAGTAGGACCCAAATATTTCTCCATGGATTCCCTTTTATGCTCAGGATCAAGGCTGCAATGCAAAAATGGTAAAGAAAGATTATTTTTCAATTCCAAGTTAGAAAGTTATTATACTTACAAATGATGATCTAAATTGAAAAGCAAAATAAGAAAGGTACCTATTCCTGATGCCAAGAAGAGCATAATGTACAGCGCTTGCACAAGCAGAAGCTGGAGCTATAGCAGCTGCAGGAACTCCCCGTACAACAGTTGCCAAAGCAGATCCAGCACTAGCTCCTCGCTGGTACTTTTTCAATGGTTGTTGAATTAAAGCAGAAGCAGATCTCCCAAGGCCATCGCTGAAACTCTCGTAAGCCTATCAAAAATTAAGAATATTAACACCTTTTCCTTGATTAAATTCAGTAAAAGTTTACAAAATTAGCACCTTGAAAAACTAAAAAGGAAAACCTATTATAAAGAATACTCATCATGCTGCAGTTAGTTTTGCACTACCTACAATCATATCAATATCACAAACCGTATAACCAATTGGTATTATTAAGTCAGAAACATAATCATCCTCACCAAACATCATACAAAGACTATTTAATTCCTCCATACATATTGAATTGGGTTACAAGCAAAGCAACAATGTAAGACCCAAAGCAAACTGAAAAATTCACCTGCTGGATTCCTTGGTGGGCATCTTTTGGCTGATTACATCTTACATTTGTCTTTGTCTTGTCTTGTACAGGGCATGACACAGAAGGAGGAACGCTCATAAGAATACATTCGGCTTGAAGCAAAATGTCATGAGCCCCTGCTGCCAAATGAACCCCAAGCCCAACAGCTTCAAGCGATATACTTCTAAGAAATGCAATAGTACCTGAAAAAGAAATTTACTCTGCTGTTATTGACAGTGCATATTGAGCGTTTGAATCAAAAAATAACAATTAAAAACCTTTCGAAAATTTTAGACGAATGAGCTTATCATAATACAGTTACCTCTTTGCATTCCTTTGAGTACCCTCCGATCTTTCCTGTAGTTCTCAAAAGGCAATGAAACCAGCTTTGCAGCACCAGAACCAACAGCAACCAATGACCGAACTGGGGGCAAACCTCGCAGCAATTTATGAATCTACAATGGAAAAGCAAGATTTATTAAATATATAAAATATGCAGGGGCTAACAAAATCTTAATATTCTCAAAGGCAACATAAATACAACTAAAACCTGATTTTGGGATATTTCTTCCAACCACTCCCCTAGAATTGTCTCACACACACTTCCCCAACCATAGATGCCAACTGCGTGAACATCCTTAAGCTGCAGCTCAACCCCCTGCACCAGAATTTATTTAAGCATGATATAACAGAACTCATTAACAGGTCTAAGCAAGTATCTCTTGAAACACAATAAGACAATAACCAACCCACATGATGGATAAGATAAAAGAGTGAAAAATTACCTTCCAGGGTACAAGATTTACAAGTTCTACATACTTTCCACCTCTTAGTGCCGCTAGATCCACACGGCTAGGACTGTAATCAACTCGAACAAGAAGGGGCCATATATCAAACTTCTGAAAAAAAAAAAAAAAAATAGATAATCAGCATTCAGATTGTCTGTAATCAAAACCTAGACACTAAACATGAACTGAAATGCCAATAAAATTGCAGAATACAATGGAATAAATCATGACATGTAAAAGATATGAGTTCAACACCACTTGCCTGAAAATAAGGAAGCAATGCTTCATCTGCAATTGTATGCCCAGCAAGATTTTTCCTCCTTGTCGCCAACAAACTTGAATCACATGAATCTTTATGACAAGCTGGGGACTTCACAACTGACGGGCTTTTAGCTTGAAAAAAATCAATGAGAAAATCAAGCTGGCATTGATGAAGATGCAATAGCATTGGAAGGATAGCAACACGCAATCTGAAAAAATAAGTCGCAGATTCAGCGTCAAATAATCTCTTTAAAAAGGAAAAAGAAAAGAAAACATATATCTAGGTGCTTCATCACTGATAGAACTTTGAAATCACGCAGCAATTTAAGGAGAGCAATAGTCAGTTAGTCACAAGTATAGGGCATACAGAAGACGACAAGAGAACAGTAATGTAATTATGTCCTGTAGGAAAAACAACTGTAGATTTGAAATTTCTGATGGAAAATGTAAACAACAACTTTTCTTTCAAAGGAAATAGCAATTGTAACATGTATATGTATCAAACTCATATGCATTTTATGCAGACACTGGACCTTTAAAATTTTCATATTGACTCACAAAGAATGATTGGAGAAAGATAAAGATTTTTCAAAAGAACTAGAGTTCATTATTGACCTTAAAAATTGGAAATCGCTACATATCATCATGAACATTAGGTAGAAAACCAAAATCGAATAGATGACTGACAATGCCATTTTGGAAGTTGCCACCATTCCATTCAGCCTAACTAGAGCTTTCCAACATAAACGCCCGCTTACCGAATTAGCTAGGTCCCAATTTAGTTCCCTTTTTTCACTTCTTTTTTTCCAGAACAAGTATACATTAATTTAAGTAAACAGAACTCTAAAAATAAAATTTTTCAGTCAAATAATTGCCATCACTTAAAAAGACTTCCATATGAATTACAGCTAAAGCAGAAATTATACCTGTACTCTTCAAGTGGAGTTAGAGGATTCGGCCTGACAGCTTCTAAGTCCAGCCTGAATGCTTTTGAAGCAGATTCTCTAGGATGATCTTTTGATTCATAATATCCCAGCACCTTCCAAATCAAGGAAGAAAATTTTCAGATATTTTTCAAAAAAAAAATAGATAAGGTAAATGGCCCAATTTAACGTAACCCAATGAATTCAAAATTACCAGTTTCCAAGGTGCATCTCTGCTCTTGTCATAGAGACGGAAATCTTGGACTGAAAGAGAAAGTTTTGATACAGACATTCCACCAATTGGGAAAATGTCATATTGAAATTGCATCCCAGACAACGCAAGCTCTAAACATACAGTCATATCCCTTCCATGTGTGCTTGTGGTGTCCTCACCATTTGTTCTTGATTCATGCCAGTCAGAACCAGCATACATTCTCCATGAGATATTAATGTTCTTAAAAAGCACACGTCCGAAGGCCTTCCCAAAATCATCAGATCCTGCAGATTCAAAAGCTGAAAGCTTGCCCTCTAAAGCTTGTTTCACCGTAGTTTGCACACTTGCTTCTGACAAGTGATTTTCTACAATTCTAAAATGGGCATCACCATACCAACCACAATTTCCTTTCCCAAGATCTTCATCCCTCACATTTCTGGGTCTGCGTTTAAAATTCTGAGGTGATGACTGTCTGCCTAAAGGTAATTCTGACAGAGAGCGTAAGTCAGCCAAACAGTAACCTTCTATAAATTCTGGGTAGCAACCAGTCTGCAGAGATGAGGTTTGACTGTTTTCTAATCCTAAAAGGGGTGTTGATCCATTAACGGACAGATCAGAGGAGATATTCTCCGGAGTTTCAACACTTAAGCTACACGCCTCTCGAAGGAGAGCATCATCAAATAAAATAGGAAATTGTGACCCAGTACAATCAAATTGGCAGGTCTGATTCCCATCTAAATGGAATGCATCTTCAGATATCTCATCCATCAAACCTGCCGACCCAGATTTAGTATTTGCATCTGCAGTTAAAATATTCATTTGAGAAGTTGATGAGGCACAATCACTATTTAATATCCTATTGTCATCGATGAAATCATTCCCCTCTTGTGCCTGCTGCACATTATTGTACCGATTTTGCAAATGTACAAGAGATTCCTCCATATCAGGGGCAAAAAGTTGTTGAAGTTGAGTAGCCAATTGTATCAGACCAGAGGTGGTGTCATGGCAAGTATCCACGTTAACGTGAGATTTTGAACATTCCAACTCCCAGAGGAGGCTGTTCTGGCTGTTAGTTCTTAAAACTGCTTCAAGGAGAGCTTCTTGAGCAACTTTAACATAACCAATCTCATGAAGATGCTGTGCACTGTAAGTGCCACCAAGTTTCTTAGGCTCCAACACTGCACAAAGAAGAAGACCTAGATCTTGCACTCTAATTCTGTAGTCATTGTCCATGGAATTCGCCACAGTTGTGTTCGAAAGAACTAATGACGATGCAGCTAACAAACAAGCAACATATTGGATGTCTGTTTCTTCATTTAATTTGGTAGAACCCAACTCAGAATCAAGAGCATTACTGTGGACCATCAAATTTATAAAGTAGGGCTCATAACTCAGACCTACATCAATCAGATTAAGAACAAAAGAAGCTTTGGAAGGAACAATTAAATCCCCCTTTTGCAAACTATTGTCACCCGCTTCTTCAATTTCAAGAGAGGGCAAACTAAAAAATGAAATTATTGCATCCAACCAATCTAAGCGACCACCAACTGCCACAATCGTGCTGCATCTGACAGTAACAGATGTAAAGCCGTGGGAGGTCTCTGGCTCCAACAAGTATATAATATCAGAACCAGCTAATCTAGAAGATAGTGCATTTGAACCTCCTCCATCACCACGCTTCATTGAAGAATTGCTACACGAGATTAGACGAAGCTCTTGACTTGGCACTCCAGTCACAGAACCACACAATGAACCTTCACCGTGGGCCAGCCAAAAAAAACTGGCATCCTTAATGCCTCCAATGTTAGAGACTGAGAGCAAACTGAACTTCTGAATTCTCAGTTTTAATGAATTCCAAGATCCAGGAAGTTCACTTTGCATAGAGCCTTTTATATTCTCCTTGATATCTGGTTCAATTAAGAGTTCTACGGAATCACACTCCACAATTACTGATGTTTGGCACCCAGAAGATTCTCCACTGCTACCAATTTTGTCATGGGCCACACATGATAGTCCACTAATTATCTGGTTTAAGAGTTCATGTAAACCACGGTATTGAGAACTGTCAAGATTGATGGCAAGTGGAAATACACGAACATGCAAGAAAAAGGCGGAGCTCAAAACTATCTCTTCTCGAGTTCGAGAATATCTATCTTCCAGATCTTTCAGAGTATTTACAGTGGCAAACTCACAACCTTTTCCCCTGAATTTATTTCTGCTCCTGTCTTCCTCAAAAGTAGCTAAGAACTTGGCTCTCTTTGCGATCCAAGGACCGGTCACAGGACCATCTTGCCAAAGCATACTAATGACGGAAAGACGACCAGTTCTGTTGCTGACCGATAAAATGTTATGTGCAAACATTTTTTTCCCCTGTGTACTGCAGGAGTTGATTCCAACATCGTCTTTAAAGGTAGAGCTAACCATGTAAATATCAAGATCACCGACATTCAAGTTCAAAGAGCGTATGGCTGTTGAAGAAAACCTTTTCTGAGAAGTCCCTTCCAAATTTGCACAAGGGTGTTGAACTACTCCCTTGTTAAAAGTTGATGGTGAAGAAAAATCAAGAGCAATGAATTGATTCCAGGAAAAGTAGCCTCCAATGTCTTTACCACCATTAAAAGGAAAGCATAGTATTACCCTAGCATCAGGGATTGATATATCCCCGTGAAAACTTTCTGTTGCAGACACGGTAGTAACAGGAGGACAAGAGCCTTTTTTCACATCCCCATGAGAAGACCTATGCTTCTCATCAACCACCTCACATGACCCATTCTTTCTGTTAGTCATCTCAAGAGAACTAACAACTTCGTTATAAAGATCCCATAACATATTTATCAAATGGAAGTTCACCCAGAAAATGAAAGGAGGCAGTTTCAATGAAAACAATGCTGAACCCGCTAAACTGGCATGTGATGGGTTTGTACTCATAGTGCATTGGCAATGAGTGATACCTGAAGTCCTAAGCAAAGAGATTTTGACCACATCATCTTTATTCCCAAAAGGAACATCCGCATCAATTATCCCAATTGATTCATCCATATCATGAACTTTTGCAGATGGGGCAAATGGAGGTAGAGCACCAAGAACTTCGTCTTGCAGATGCTGAACTGAAACAGTTTGACTGTCAATATATTTGCCACCCTCCCTTAAGTGGAAGTTCATCACATCGGTGTCATTGTGAAAGTAGTCGGCAACATCTATTTTCTTCACTGTTCCATCAACCCTTGTTTCTTGAGGACAAACCTGTTAACTCATTGAAGTGTAATGTTAGCATAGAAGGAAAATAGCAAGACCCACTAAGTGTAGGGGAGAGACTATGAAACATGAAATGGAAGAGAAAACCAGAAGCACAATTATCACCTGCACAACAAGAGAAATATCTCTGCATTCGGCACCCAGACAATGAATATGTGACTCAACATTTATTTGATCACCTTTTCCATCATATGACTGCTTCTCATCTTCATCATGAAAGGAGAACACAATATAAACTCCAGCAAAAACTGCTTTAAGATTGGTTTGGACATGCTGTTGTTCTGCACATAAATATAAGGGTATACATTATAGTTTCATACATCTTAAAGAAAATTGACCAAGATTACCACACAGCAAATGCATATGCAAATTAAAGAAAAAAAAATGGATGTCATGTACACATCTCTCTGACCTTTAATACATGGAAATAGAAAAAATACATACCAGAAGGAACCTGCAAAGTCCCAGAAGCAAGATTTGATGCAGCAGTTATAGCACTGAAAACAGAACAAGTCCAGTTCCACATCCCACTGCTTCCTAGGGCGGATTGAGAATTTCTCATTCCATCAAAGCATTCAAAAAATTGGTTCACACTGCAAACAGCCAGAGCACAAACATAAAAGAATTATTAGCATTAATTGAGACCAAACTATATGGTAAGCAAGTAATGCATAATGGACAAATATGGCTATAGAACTAAAAGGTTATGGAAGCTTGATTTTCATTTATAAAGTGTAGTGCTTAGGATTATTGGAAATCGTATTTGGAAAAATCAATAATCGTATTTGGAAAAAAGAATTAGTTAAGATAAGGAATGATGCAGAATCTGTAATACTTTTGTCTGATATAAAATCTGCAACATTACGAAATAACTAATCAGACTCTAGATGTCTCTTATAGGACTATCACAAGTTACTTCCTCTTAAATCCACTTCAGTATATTACTAGCACAGACTGAAATACCAACCTTGCCCCTAAATCAACTTCTCCAATACCATCTTTCTGGTTTTTGTTGACAGGATGAGGCACCCAATCCAGTATAAGATGTGAGCCAGGTAGAGTAGTTTCAGTAACAGAATCTTGTCCATTCAAAGAAGATAAATTGGAAGAATAGCTACCATGAATTGGTACCATTTTATCGGGGGCAACAAGAGAAGAAACGCTTGGTGATGAATAGAAATGAGAACTTGCATTAAAGTAAACTGAGTCTGATGACTTGTGAATCATATGAACCCTCCGATCCTTATCAAACTTCTTATAGGTTTCCCATGAAACTAAGAACCATTTAATTGTGCTTGGCTGAAATTTTAATTCTATAGGATCAACACAGACATCTACATCCACTTTGCGAATGTCTAATGAACCATTCTTCCAGGGTATACTCAATTTTATATTCCCTGAAAATCCACCTCTTTTCCATTTCATGATTGAAGTTCTCACATTTGATGGAGAGCGATTGGAAACTACATCAGTAAAGGGCATTCCTGATGTACACGAAGAGCCTGTTTGTTGGCCAACATCGTCCATACGAAGAAGTTCAAGAACTGCTCCTTGAAATTTCACAAAGTTTGTTAGACGACTTATTCCAAGAAAGTTCTCAGCACTTGCATCACCATTCAAGCTAGCATCTTCAGCAATACAAGTTCCACATTCTATTTCTGATATTCGAAAAACCAAAGTCACATTTGACCCCACCTTGTTTTCATCCTTCTCTAAACACGGATCATATGCAACAATCAACTTCTTTATCCTAACATGGAAGCTTGTAAGAAACCACTTAACCATGTTGGCGATCATCTTAACACCTTCATGAACATCGCCACATGAAGGTTTGGAAACATTCTCCCCCATATCATGCCCAAACTGCCCAGAATCCCATTGCATACTACGACTACCATCTTGACTAGTACTACGACTTTCATCTCCAGCCCCAAACTCATACTTATCCTGACAAGGAGCAAGAACTATCTCAAGTTCATCCACCTCAACTTGACAACCTTTATCCTTCCACGGCATTTTAACTAGCAACGAGCCAATAGACCCTTCTTTTATTCTTACTGCCGTCGCTGCACCAAACTGAAAACATAAAGAAGAAAAATAAATAAATAAAAATAAACTAATATAAGCAGAAGAAAATAATTTTAAATTTTCAGCAATCAACCTTCCAAGGCAGTAATTAAAGCAAAATTAAGAACAAAACCTAGTGTTTCCCATTAAATTCGTATCCCATGACCAACATTACAAAATTCAACGCTTTTTTAAAAGCTACCCGAAGACGTTACACATATCACACTTACGCCAAACAAAAAAAACATATTACACTAAACAGAACTAAGACACCGCACCTTCTGGTTAAGAAAATCAACATTAAGCGCAAGATCATTGAGCTGAATAGAGCCATCACCGAGCTGAACATCAAGCTGGTCAAGATCAATATCGCCTAAAATAAATTGTCCNCGCATAGATTGAGAAATATATTATGGATAGTATTTACCCGAAAAATATTCATCTACATTATTTCTTTTAGCACATTTATATATCATGAAATATCCGTCCAGGTGGGGTGGTTTACAATTAATGTTGACACATTTATTTAAAAAAAAAAAAATTTGATTTACTACAAGTTTATTATAAATATTAGGGTTCATAAAAGAGTAAACGACTTTTTCCCACCCAAATAATCTCTTAATGACTCTTTCCCACTCATAGTTTTTTAAAATACTACTTCACTACCAAAATTTATATTTCGTTTCTGATTTCGACATCGTTGCAACCTCACACCACCACCATTCTCTTCCCCGATCATCATTCATCAAAACCCCTGAAAACCTATTACGTCAACCCCGCGAATCATCGACAATTAAGTGATTAGGGCTTGCACAACCGCTCCTCCCAAGTCAAATTCTAATCAATTCCAACCACTAATATCCAACATTCTACCACTAAAAAACTCATCGGTCTCCCCTCTTCAAAAGTCCAAACAGCTTGGATCAAATTTGCTCTCTGTTTATCGTTAGAATATAAATTTGAATAGTAAAGTGATATTTTAAAAGTCTGTAGGTGAAAAAATGTCATTAAATCATTATTTAGGTGAGAAAAAATCGTTAACTCTTTGTTATACATAAGGGTCTTGTGTTTAATTTGTGCAATATTTCATCCCAATTGTTAATAGTGGTGACTGCTGTGTAAATAAATAAATGAAACCCTAAACACCAACAATTAATATTTAAAATATTCAAAAAATAATAATAATAATTAAATTTTTCTAAAGGTATGGAAACACTTTGTAGTTTGTATTGCCTTTACCTAAAAAAGAATTATAAAAATATGAAAATTCATTTAAATCAGCCTTATATTTTGTTGTTTTAGTGCTGAAGAAAGCCTGCTTAGTGGGATCAAAGAGAGGCCGGCAATAAAGTCAAAAAGGGAAATATTTGAAGGCTTACTTTTACCAGAAGGATTGCCACGCGTATCAGAAAAAAAAAAAAATATGAAGAAAGGACAAAATTTGAGGATTCAGCAAAACCGACAACTGACTACATGTCGTATCATGATAATAACCAAACCGGACCGGACCGGACCGGACCAAATTGTCTGCCTCGTTTTGTAATATGGTAAATTAAGATGCGGGTTAATTTGTAGTTGATATAAAATTCAAGTTTTTGTTTTAAAAGAAAAAAAAATTATTTAAAATAAAATAAAGGTGACATGTGTTTCACGCGCTAGATGCCGGCTGCGGTAGTCCAATAAATGCATTTATGCAGACACTGGACCTTTAAAATTTTATATTGACTCACAAATAATGATTGGAGAAAGTAAAAGATTTTTCAAAAGAACTAGAGTTCATTATGACCTTAAAAATTGGAAATCGCTACATATCATCATGAACATTAGGTAGAAAACCAAAATCGAATAGATGACTGACAATGCCATTTGGAAGTTGCACCATCCATTCGCCTAACTAGAGCTTTCCAACATAAAACGCGCCCGTTACCGAATTAGCTAGGTCCCAATTTAGTTCCTTTTTTCACTTCTTTTTTTCCAGAACAAGTATACATAATTTAAGTAAACAGAACTCTAAAAATAAAATTTTTCAGTCAAAAATTGCCATCACTTAAAAAGACTTCATATGAATTACAGCTAAAGCAGAAATTAAACCTGTACTCTTCAAGTGGAGTTAGAGGATTCGGCCTGACAGCTTCTAAGTCCAGCCTGAATGCTTTGAAGCAGATTCTCTAGGATGATCTTGATTCATAATATCCCAGCACCTTCCAAATCAAGGAAGAAAATTTTCAGATATTTTTCAAAAAAAAATAGATAAGGTAAATGGCCCAATTTAACGTAACCCAATGAATTCAAAATTACCAGTTTCCAAGGTGCATCTCTGCTCTTGTCATAGAGACGGAAATCTTGGACTGAAAGAGAAAGTTTTGATACAGACATTCCACCAATTGGGAAAATGTCATATTGAAATTGCATCCCAGACAATGCAAGCTCTAAACATACAGTCATATCCCTTCCATGTGTGCGTGGTGTCCTCACCATTTGTGCTTGATTCATGCCAGTCAGAACCAGCATACATTCTCCATGAGATATTAATGTTCTAAAAAGCCACGTCCCAAGGCCTTCCCAAAATCATCAGATCCTGCGATTCAAAAGCTGAAAGCTTGCCCTCTAAAGCTTGTTTCACCGTAGTTTGCACACTTGCTTCTGACAAGTGATTTTCTACAATTCTAAAATGGGCATCACCATACCAACCACAATTTCCTTTCCCAAGATCTTCATCCCTCACATTTCTGGGTCTGCATTTAAAATTCTGAGGTGATGACTGTCTGCCTAAAGGTAATTCTGACAGAGAGCGTAAGTCAGCCAAACAGTAACCTTCTAAAATTCTGGGTAGTAACCAGTCTGCAGAGATGAGGTTTGACTGTTTTCAATCCTAAAAGGGGTGTGATCCATTAACGGACAGATCAGAGGAGATATTCTCCGGAGTTTCAAACTTAAGCTACACGCCTCTCGAAGGGAGGCATCATCAAATAAAATAGGAAATTGTGACCCAGTACAATCAAATTGGCAGGTCTGATTCCCATCTAAATGGAATGCATCTTCAGATATCTCATCCATCAACCGCCGACCCAGATTTAGTATTTGCATCTGCAGTTAAAATAATTCATTTGAGAAGTTGATGAGGCACAATCACTATTAATATCCTATGTCATCGATGAAATCTTCCCTCTTGTGCCTGCTGCAGTTATTGTACCGATTTTGCAAATGTACAAGAGATTCCTCCATATCAGGGGCAAAAAGTTGTTGAAGTTGAGTAGCCAATTGTATCAGACCAGAGGTGGTGTCATGGCAAGTTCCACGTTAACGTGAGATTTTGAACATTCCAACTCCCAGAGAAGCGTGTTAGGCTGTTAGTTCTTAAAACTGCTTCAAGGAGAGCTTCTTGAGCAACTTTAACATAACCAATCTCATGAAGATGCTGTGCACTGTAAGTGCCACCAAGTTTCTTAGGCTCCAACACACGCACAAAGAAGAAGACCTAGATCTTGCACTCTAATTCTGTAGTCATTGTCCATGGAATTCGCCACAGTTGTGTTCGAAAGAACTAATGACGATGCAGCTAACAAACAAGCAACATATTGGATGTCTGTTTCTTCATTTAATTTGGTAGAAACCAACTCAGAATCAAGAGCATTACTGTGGACCATCAAATTATAAAGTAGGGCTAACTCAGACCTACATCAATCAGATTAAGAACAAAAGAAGCTTTGGAAGGAACAATTATCCCCCTTTTGCAAACTATTGTCACCCGCTTCTTCAATTCAAGAGAGGGCAAACTAAAAAATGAAATTATTGCATCCAACCAATCTAAGCGACCACCAACTGCCACAATCGTGCTGCATCTGACAGTAACAGATGTAAAGCCGTGGGAGGTCTCTGGCTCCAACAAGTATATAATTCAGAACCAGCTAATCTAGAAGATAGTGCATTTGAACCTCCTCCATCACCACGCTTATTGAAGAATTGCTACACGAGATTAGACGAAGCTCTTGACTTGGCACTCCAGTCACAGAACCACACAATGAACCTTCACCGTGGGCCAGCCAAAAAAAACTGGCATCCTTAATGCCTCAATGTTAGAGACTGAGAGCAAACTGAACTTCTGAATTCTCAGTTTTAATGAATTCCAAGATCCAGAAGTCACTTTGCATAGAGCCTTTTATATTCTCCTTGATATCTGGTTCAATTAAGAGTTCTACGGAATCACACTCCACAATTACTGATGTTTGGCACCCAGAAGATTCTCCACTGCTACCAATTTTGTCATGGGCCACACATGATAGTCCACTAATTATCTGGTTTTAGAGTTCATGTAAACCACGGTATTGAGAACTGTCAAGATTGATGGCAAGTGGGAAATACACGAACATGCAAGAAAAAGGCGGAGCTCAAAAATCTCTTCTCGAGTTCGAGAATATCTATCTTCCAGATCTTTCAGAGTAGTTACAGTGGCAAACTCACAACCTTTCCCCTGAATTTATTTCTGCTCCTGTCTTCCTCAAAAGTAGCTAAGAACTTGGCTCTCTTTGCGATCCAAGGACGGTCACAGGACCATCTTGCCAAAGCATACTAATGACGGAAAGACGAACAGTTCTGTTGCTGACCGATAAAATGTTATGTGCAAACATTTTTTTCCCCTGTGTAATGCAGGAGTTGATTCCAACATCGTCTTTAAAGGTAGAGCTAACCATGTAATATCAAGATCACCGAATTCAAGTTCAAAGAGCGTAGGCGTTGAAGAAAACCTTTTCTGAGAAGTCCCTTCCAAATTGCACAAGGGTGTTGAACTACTCCCTTGTTAAAAGTTGATGGTGAAGAAAAATCAAGAGCAATGAATTGATTCCAGGAAAAGTACCTCTCAATGTCTTTACCACCATTAAAGGAAAGCATAGTATACCCTAGCATCAGGGATTGATTATCCCCGTGAAAACTTTTGTTGCAGACACGGTGTAACAGGAGGACAAGAGCCTTTTTTCACATCCCATGAGAAGACCTATGCTTCTCATCAACCACCTCACATGACCCATTCTTTCGTTAGTCATTTCAAGAGAACTAACAACTTCGTTATAAAGATCCCATAACATATTTATCAAATGGAAGTTCACCAGAAAGAAGGAGGCAGTTTCAATGAAAACAATGCTGAAACCGCTAAAATGGCATGTGATGGGTTTGTACTCATAGTGCATTGGCAATGAGTGATACCTGAAGTCCTAAGCAAAGAGATTTTGACCACATCATCTTTATTCCAAAAGGAACATCCGCATCAATTATCCCAATGATTCATCCATATCAGAACTTTTGCAGATGGGGCAAATGGAGGTAGAGCACCAAGAACTTCGTCTTGCAGATGCTGAACTGAAACAGTTTGACTGT